GGATCGGGCGACGCGGAACAATCGAGTGGCCTCCGCGTTCGCCTGATTTAACACCTCTAGACTTTTTTTTGTGGGGCTATTTGAAATCGCGTGTGTACACAAACAGACCAGGTGATTTGGAAGAACTTAAAAACCGTATTCGTTTTGAAATAAATCAAATCGACCCGGGAATGCTTGAACGAAGTGTAGACGGCGTTTACACACGCTTAGGACAATGCCAAATGGTACAGGGTGGGCAATTCGAACAATTTCGCTAGACTTACACAAACATTAGTGTAATTTTACTCGTTTGAAATGTAATTTTGTCAACTTTGTCCTTTTCGGAGCCATTAATAGTGTAAGTAGACAATTATCACTTTTAAGAACTTAAGGTGTATTTTTCTAAAAAAAATTGTTATGTAAGACATCGAAATTTTCACACCGTTGTTTAGTTAATTATCACTGTCATCAATTTCGAACGAAAAAAATATGCGTTGTCATTAAAAAAAGAAAATTATGTCACCGCTGCCGTAAGTGGATTATCGAAAAAAAAATTTTTCCACATAACAAGGTGCCCTGGATCAAATAAAAATCGACGGGTCTCACCGTTTTTCGAAAAAAAAATTGTTTAACGAAAATATAAATTTTATGCAGAACTTTTTTACAACGCTGTATATTCGTATTTGCCACCTCTCGAAGTCAAAAAATGTTTTATTTTCAGATTTTTGTCCAATTTTCAATTTCTGAAATTTACGAAAGTTAATAATCAAGTCTTAAAATGCTGCACTTAAAAAAATGCCGCCTGAAACATCTGCTTCGCTTTTTCACCCCTTCCGCCGGCCCTGTATAGGGAATTATCAATGTCACCCCTGAAGCGACGTCAAGCGCTAGTCTTTGATGTTTTATTATCTACGTGGTAATGCCTGAGTGTTTCTTTGTTCCCTCCGAAATTTTTCTGCAGACGCTCATGTAGGTATATAATTTCTAATTTCTTTCCAGAATTTCTGTCTGAAGCTGTGTACTTAAGTGTTGACCCTTACATGAGAGGCTATGCCCCCACCCTAAAATTAGGATCAACATTTATAGGTTCACAAGTTGCTAAGTAAGTTATTTTTTAAATAATTTCCATTTTTCCCATGATACCGATCAAGTTTCAGAAAACCTCAGTTATATTTCAGTTGTGTTTCACAAAACATACAAATTTTAGACAATAATTAGTAGGGCTGTTAGAGAGAGCCGCAATACAATGGCGTGCCAAGCGGCTCAACAGAAATATGCGTGAGCCGTTGCCTCAGAATGCCTTTCACGTCACGTTAGTATACTGTTGCCTTTGCTGTCATGCAGATATTGCGTAATTAGTTTTTATCCGTTGGTGTTTATGGTGGTGTTTTGTAGACAATTTAATTTGTTGCTTTTTAATAAGTAATGCGTACGCCTATATCCCGCGGATCAGTTCTGACAGCCCTAATAATTAGTATCTGACATTACTGTAGTATATGAAGTATGAAGCTATAATAATGGAATAATGAAAATAATTTTAATGTTTGTTCGCATCGTTCTTAAAAATTTGACTAGAATTTTCTCTCTAACGCTTTTATGCGTAATTTTCAGTGAATTTATAGCAGTCTTTTTGTGGAATTTTAGAAAATCTAAGCAAGTTAAAATTTCTGTAGATTGGATACTGTTGAAAAGATGGTGATAGTCATAATAGCCGCCCTAGGATTTTTTTGTCCTTCATTGACTGACATTAACATTTTGAGTGGTATATTTGCACCGACTTACTGTAATATATTAGAATGCGATGCAATATGGACCTGTTCAAATAGGGATATTAAGCGTTGCACCGAAAATAATAATTGTAATAATAGTAAAAATGTAATTTACACATCGCTTTGGGCGATAGTCCTACGAACAAAAGTTACAGATTAGAGAAACGTTTATTAAATGTGCGATTTCTAGCGATTATATAATTTTTTGTTCAAATATTTTTTTTTTAGTTGATTAAAAAAAACAATGCACTTACCAAGAGAAAATTTGGTTTAACTATAAAGTACCTAGATACAGAATAAAATTGATTGCAAGATTCTGTCACAAGAAACAATACTTTCGCAAGTGAAGTATACTTTTTTATCAAATAATAGCCTAAATTTATCAAATACAGATAAATGTTGCTTAATTAATAAATCGGTAAATCACCGGTTCTTCAAGCGTTATTTCAGTTGGTAAGGGGATTCACAGAAATTATTTCTAAAATGTACTTTCAGTCATAATGACAATAGATATGAAAATTAATTTGATATATCTGCCTATATTAGTTCTCATCACAGAAAGTACAAGAATAAAATATGTCTTTTACACAATAAAAAATAACAGTGTAAATTCATTATACTATATTTATGATTGAATTTATTTTTTGTGCTATATTTAGAGTCAACTTAAGATATTAACAAAGGAAGGAAAACTATAATATATGAATGAGAATAAAGTTTGTATCAGACAATGCAATTTAGTTGCAGCTACAAAATTTCGGGGATTTTGTTGCGGGGATAATGAATGCTTATAGGACAGAATTGCTGCAATTTGTTTAGTTTGCAGTAGTGTCACCAACTGTGCATTGTTTAACATGTAAAATTTCTTGTATGTATCTTGTAAACAATTATTTTTTATTCAAGCAAAACATTGCAATGGATGAAAATTTAAAAGTAAATTGCTGTATAGCTTTAATAATGGCTTCAACGGTGTTACTAACAACAACCATGATCAACAGGCAACAATAACTAGGTTGGTAATAAACGAATCTTCATAAAGTAACTAGAATCTATGCAATTTTGTTGCACGGAATAGAGCATGTTCTAATTCATGCAATTCAGTTGCCGGGACAGAATTGCATAATCTGATAAGAAATATTTCATGGATTCTATCGCGGCAACAAAATCCCTGCAACAAAATTGCATTGTCTGATACAGGCTTAAGAACTGTGTAAAAATGTTGTTGAAAACAGAGTTGTGTACAATCAAATACTGACGCGCAGTTTGGAATCAGTTGTTATACAACAAATTTACCATTTAGTTGTAAAAAAGAATCGATTTTAGTTTAGTGTAGACTGCAGATATCACAAGACTTTTAAGTCAATATTTCATCAATTTTTCAGGGTAATCGAATCCAAAAACCCTAAATTCCCAGTGGGTAAACATGTGGTTGGTGAATTCGGGTGGAGAACCCACACAATTTCTACAGGGGAAAAACTTACCAGTGGTCTAGCAGGGGCATGGCTGATACCAAATTTTGGAGAACTACCCTTGTCCCTAGCTTTGGGAACATTGGGAATGCCAGGGTAAGAACGTTAAAATGCTCATATACAGTGTATCTTGAATGTGTACAATACAAAACCTTTATAAATGATTACAAGCCGCGTGACCAGCAATTTTGTTTGGGACAGTAATTTTATTTCCCTCACGTTGGCAATTAAATTTCGGTAAAATAAAAAATTATTAAAACAATAAAATCAAGATTACATTCTGTTTCACCGGTTGTGATTGGTGTAATTTTTTGCGAGATTCAAGCAATCAGCATCGCATTATGTTGGGCTTAAACGTAACGGTTTGTCATTGTTCATTGTAAACAAATACCTAATGGTGACGCCAAAATATAGGGATTCTTCTGAGTACAGTGAGAGTCGTTTTGCAAAATTTCAAATATCTAAGGAGATTCATTTTTTTGTTAAAATACATTCATTCACATGTACATTTCGCGGACAGCTTTTTACATGGAAGTCAATCTTTTACGCATGAGCATCAACCACAAAGTTTTAAAAATTTTTGCCTATCGTTTAAGAACATGTTTTTTTCTAGTATGTATTTCATATAAAAAGATAAAGTTTAAGAATTCCGTGGAACACTGGCAACACTGCATAGTACGCCTTCCGAGACAAACTCTGTGCGTCAGTGGTCCTCAATAAGTTTTATATTAAAATATATATTTATAATGTTAATAATTAATTTTTCTTAAATGTGGTTAAATGTTTCCTCAACTATTTGTTTTCAATGTCGAGAGAAAGTTTCGGCTGATTTTTTGAGTTTAAGATTAAATCGAACAATTCCATTATCATAATAATGTAATGATAGGGTTGTATGACACTATGCTAAAATTAGAACTAATTTCAATAATTAACTAAGAACTTTTTAATTTTGCATAGTATCATACAGAAACTGCAGCAATTTTTGTTGCAATTTGTATGTGATACTATGCAATATTAAAAAGTTCTTAGTTAATTACTGAAATTAGTTCCAATTTTAGCGTAGTGCCATATGACCCTAATGTTTGTTCATTTTTAGCAATACCGCCTATTTCGGGCTGCTGGAATTGTGTCAGCCTAAACCCGGTGAAACCGTCGTCGTGACAGGAGCAGGCGGAGCAGTAGGCAACGTTGTGGGACAAATAGCGAAAATCAAAGGGTGCAAGGTCATTGGCGTAACGGGATCAGACGAAAAGGGGAAATGGTTAGTGGAGGATTTAGGATTTGACAATTTTATTAATTATAAAACGGACGATGTAAAGCAGAAGCTCAAGGAGTACGCACCTAATGGGATAGATTGTTATTTTGACAACGTAAGTGTGAAAAATTTATGGTTCATTGGATATGAATTATATAGGACGAATCTTGAATGTGTACAGTTTAACTGTGGGCATATGAACAGTTTTTTGAATAACATAGAATAACATAGAAATATAGAAAAGTCAAATTTACTCTACTCTACGTATAGTATAATTTGTTTGCTCTGAGCGGGAGACCAACAATTATGCAGTGTTGCTGGTGTTACACGGTATTCTTAAATCTATTTTTTATATGTAATTTATATGAAATTTTGTATATCTCCATAAAAATATTTGTGGCCTATCCTATGTAAGGTAAGCCAACAGTAGTTCTGTTTGTAGTTACCAACAAGCTTATGACAAAATAAAAAGTGAGCTATAGTCTTGAAGTGAGTCTTAGAGGAATTAGAAATCAGCAAGAAGATAAGGAACATGGTACGCCTAACATTGAAAAAGACAGAGAATAAAGTAAAAGTAAACAATAGATGCACGGAAGAGTTCGAAGTTAAAAACGGCGTCAGACAAGGGGATCCATTATCAGCAGTGTTATTTAGTTTAGTGCTAGAAAAAGTCATAAGAGATGCAGGAATTAATAGATCAGGCCTTATTTACTATAAAAGACATCAGTGTTTGGCATTTGCGGATGATCTTGTAGTGTTAGCAAGAAATAAAGCAGAACTAAAAGAGGTAATAAGGAGAATAGATGAGCAGTCAGTTAAATATATTAATGAGACAAAAACTAAGTACATGGAATGGTCGGAAGAAGAATATCAAAAAGACAAGTTTCTGAAAGTAGATACAAACAGAGGGAAAACGTACAGATTTGAGGAAGTTGAACATTTCACATATTTAGGCACTTTATTTAGAAGAAGACCGAAAATAGAGGAAGAAATCGAAGCCAGAATAATGTTAGGAAACAAAAGTGTAGCGGGGTTGCAGAGAATACTGAGAAACAAAAACGTTTCTAGACAAACAAAGATAAGGCTGTACAAGGCAGTGATAAGACCAGTAGTTACATACGCCAGTGAAACGTGGACGTTGAATATAGCAGAACAAACAAGATTGGAAGTATGGGAGAGGAAAATATTGAGGAAAATTTTTGGAGGTAAAAAAAAAGGGTGGTTTCGAAGAACAAATGAGGAAATAAAAAGCTTATATAAGGAGGCAAGTATAGTAAGTGTGATAAAAGCACAAAGATTAAGATGGATGGGACATATTGAAAGAATTCCAGGGACAAGGATACCAAAAATGGTAATGGAACGAACAATTGGCGGTAAGAAGAGGGTAGGAAGACCGAAAACAAGATGGAAATCTGAGGTGGAGAGGGACTTACAACAACTGGGAATTGTCAGGTGGAAAGAAAAGGCAAAGGATAGAAACAAGTGGAGAAAGATAGTCAACCAAGCCATGGACCAACTAGGTCGCAGAGCTAAATTATATATATATGTATCCGGTAATGTTTTTTGGCAACTATGTCTGTGTCCTGTTATTTGTACCTATCTGGTGTATAAACTCAATGTTCAGTTCACATGATTTTCGAGACGAGTGTTGGCGTAAACAACAAGCTTTCTGTATTAGTGCGAACTCCTTTTCCATTTAAAGCATATGCTTACAAAATAAAAATACCTTAGGTATTTCTTTAAATTTCATATTCGCTACTTTTGTATTGCGGTCTATTTGTTAAGTTAATAGACAAGTATTTGTTTGTTACAAATAGTACAGTCTTAAATTTTATTCATCTTGCTGAAACTAATTTTCCAATGGTTTGGAGTTTTCCTTACTGTGACGATAAAATTTGTGTTAAGATTACTGCATAATTAAATTTTAATTCTATCTTAAAATGTTTCAAACTATAATCCATCAAGGATTTAACAAAGAGTATTCCCTCCCCTAAAATAATCTTAATTTTGAAAAATTACTTCCATTACTACACATTTAACAATTTATCCTGTATATGACTATACAGGGTGTAAATAAAATACTTGGTCAAACTTTAGTGGCGGATTCTACGTCACAAATTAACGAAAAAACGTAATGAAACACGGTCTTTTCGAGATGCAGATATGTGTTACGATGTGTAACAATTGGAAAAATAAAATTTTATTAATTTTCTGTATATAGTTCATTGTTCATTTAAATTGAACATACAATTACACAGGGTGCCAGCCGAGGTATCCGAAATACTTCGTATATGAATTCTATGACTAATTTCAAGCGAAATTGATTCCATTCACTTTTCTGGAATTCTCAATGGTTCCTGAAATATCGGGGTTTGAAGTTGCGAGGTCGTATGGGTAGTTGCTAAAGAGTAAATTACATTGTTCCGATCAGAGGGCTTAGAAAAAATTGTGGGTTAGTTTAATAAAAGCGTAATGACAATGTAATTATTGCAGCTGCTCAATATAACCACCGCCTTGTGCAATGCATAACTCAATCCTCTGTCGAAGCTCTCGTTTCCAGTTGTAATTCTCCTTATTGTTTTTCACCTTATCAAACGCAATTAGGCTTTCCCATTCAATAAGGAAGTGTCTTCACATGTTCCCACATGAAAATGTCCTAAGGGTGAAATCCGGAGATCCCGGTGGCCAACCAAGGGGACCACCAAAATCTATCTAACGATTTGGATATTTTTCATTGCGGAAATTAGTGACACCTCTTCCAATAATGGGACAGAGCACCATTATGTAAAAAGAACATCGTCCTTCTGATTTGAAGAGTAGAGGTAAATCGCTCTCCAAAAATGACCGGTACATCTTGCTGTTCAAATTTCCGTCGAAGAAATGTGGTGCGTTAACTTTATTATTAATCATTCCAACCCAAACGTTTACGGAGAATGTTATCTGAAAATGAATTTTTCGAAAGCATGAGGGTTTTCAATTGACCGTGATCGTTGTGGAAATTCGTCACAGAAAAAGGTTCTTGAAAGGGTATTCAGATGATTGCTCCACCATTCACAAAGACGAACTCTTTGGGGAAGATCCGTGGGAAGAAGTTCTTGTACCGGTTGGTAAATGATAATGATAGGGATGCAGTCCGTTTTCCCGCAAAATGTCTTGCACAGCCGTCCTAGTTTGTCCAGCAAGTGCAGAAATTCTTTATACGAAGTACATATTTCGGATACCTCGGCGGCTATATAGTAGAAAAGAATGTAAAGTACGTGGTTTTTCGAGTGCCTTGGCCTGTGTACCTAGTCGCTACCAGTTACACGTTACACCTTTCACTTCTTCCTTAGACTTATCTAGGGATCTTGGTCTAGACTCTGTGAGGGCGTATTCGCAATTTAGCGGGTTTATTAGCGTATTTGATAGTGGGTTACCCTGTAACTTTTTGTAAACCATAAAATGCAATTTCCTACCATGCACCTGCTTTCAGTTTGACATACATTGTATTTGAGGAGCAGCTGCGCAAAAGCCGATAAATCCATAATATGTGATTTGAGATAACTAGGAAAAAGTTGTAACTATAATTATTCACTGTAACCTTAAACTTTATGCACTGGTTTTATAAGTTTAATCATGGTTTTAATATATATATTGCTTACTGTTCAGTTTTATTAAATGTAAATTTTATTCCACTTTTTAAATTGGATTTATTGCCCTTTGTTCAATTATTATGTGGATATATAGACTTCTGCTCAATTGAAATGGATTTGTCGGTTCTTGCTAAATCATATTTAGGATATACCGATTTCTGCTTAATCTCTACTTATTTTATGGAAAAATACAACACAATATACCATACATTTTTATTTGAATTATACACATGTGGTTCAAAGTACAAAAATTTTAATATCAAACGAAACAAAAAAATTGTGAAAATCTAACCCAACATCGTCTTCTAAACAATCACATATAACTTCTTCCTGTTCTTCGTAGGCCATCTCAAATATAATTTTTTTGTACCAAGATAAGTCTTATTACCCTCTCATATTTACGCACTGCATGTATGTGAAAATTGCACCATCTCGCGATAAACTATGAAACTACGAAGAAATTAAACAATAGAAAAATTTTTAAAGAAATCTGTTAAATTTAGTATACATGGATTTAACGCTCTTTGCTTGGTCGAAATATGGATTGATTGGCTTTTGGTTAGTCGCTTATTTTAATATGCCGTTTCTCATTGAATTCAACGTTCTTTGTTCAATCTAGATGTAACCAAGCCATAACCGTGCCCAACTAAAAAAAATTTAAAAACGGATTTATCGGCTTTTGCATAGCTGCTCCTCATTTTAGGAACACTGCGTGTATTTACTGTAAGATTTTCAGGTTGGTGGTGAGATAAGTAATACTATCATGTACTGCATGAATTTGTTTGGAAGAGTTGCGGTATCTGGAGCTATATCTGCATATAATGATAAAAGTATCCCAACAGGTAAGTTTTTGAGTTTGAAATAATTTTTCACGGTTTGCGTTTGAAAATTTGCATAAAAATTGCACCGCTCAAAATTGTAACAGTTTGTCGGTTATTAAGCGTTTTCGACGTTTCTATTTGATTTTAAATTCGGCTTATATTTAGCAGAAAAGCCCACTTAATCCCGTAAACTGACAATCTAACAACTTACAATATTTGCAGTTATAAAACACAAAGGTAACTGAAGATTATAATTATTATCATAAACTAAAAATAAACTATTTGTTACATTTTTGTTATTATTTTATCCTGCACTTGGTTGACAACAACAAAATTTTCATACTATACCTAATATAACACTGATTTGTTTCTTATTTTTTGTATTTATGTATAACTGCTAGTACTACTCATATCATAATTTTTAGCAACTATTGCTCAGTACCCGCTATTGTCTCATCAGTTAAGAATGGAAGGTTTTATCGTCCATAGATGGGCAGACCGCTGGTTTGAAGGTATCAAACAAAATAGAACTTGGATACAAGAAGGAAAGTTAAAATATCCTGAGACTGTGACAGAGGGTTTTGAAAACATGTTTAAAGCTTTCACTGATATGTTGAATGGTGTAAATTTCGGGAAAGCTATTGTCAAAGTCTAATGACAGTTAACTACATTTTTTAAATAAACTACAAAAAAATGGCTTATCTTTTTTAATTACATCCGTAAGTTTTTTTTGGGATTTACCAACTTACCCCTATTTAAAAGTCTGTATCCGATTCCCTCCTATACTACAGATGACAATGGGTACATCTACCTAACCCTTTCAGTGTAGATCCGCATAGAAACAGCGTTTGGGGATCTATATCTCAGTACATGGTATAACTATACATGATCTCAGTAGGTATTGACATTTGAATGAAGATAAGGTGATTTAAACAAGCTACCCTTAAAGTATGACCCATTCGATTTCGGACATCCTATACACGGTGTAAGAGGTTTGACTGACATTACTTTAGCATGAGATAGAGTAATTATAAATGACAAAAAAGTTGCATATTACAGGGGCGTAAGATTAACAGTTTTCAAAATACAGCTAGTACTACTTGTCCTACGGAAAAAATGTAAACAGCTATTATTGTGGAACATTTAGTAAATTTCAAGGCAATTGTTTTCCAATTTTTTAATAAATAAAATAAAATGTATCGATTTTGTACTACGAAGATAGTGTTGTGGTTAAATTTTAGCTCGAATTTTAGTAATTATGAATCTCTTAAAAAAGGAACTTAACTTTTAATCAAATTATGAATTTGAAAAATATTTATTTATAGTACCCAAAGATTCATGTCGTCCAAATAAAAATAATTTAGGTAGTTACCAAAAAGCAAAATTCAGTTATTTTTAAACGTACAAGTACAAGACAAACTACAACATATGCTCAAAATGTCCAGCATCGTTTTTGATGCACGCATGACACCTTCGAATCCAATTTTCGCGCACTCGCTGGAAAACACCTCAAGAAAAGGAAATAGTGATACGCAAAAAACACTCAGATATGGTTCAATTCCAGATACCAACTGATTTGCGTATTGCTGGACAGCTTAGTACCTCGTTGCTCGATATGAATTTTATTGAATTTAAAATTTATGTTTAATTAATTATTTTTTAAAAATTGGATTAGATTTAGAATTTAGAATTTAGAATTAAGCATAAAGAAGTTCAAATAAGTGATAAACATTCATATAAGGTTCTTTTGCATATTTTACTGTATTTTATCGCCTGTTAAAATTAAGGCAGCCAACCCCTAACCCTGTATACACAATGACATAATTTACCGAATTTGGTAGCGATGCTTTCTTTCTTCTTCATACAATCATTTAGATATCTATCGAATTATTTGAATTAGTAATCCTTTGGAGACAAATAGCAAGCCTACCTTTTAGACTGAAACATTCCCTTCAGTATCAATCCTCTCGTTGCGACGTAAAACATTCCATTTTCTAATAATTCTCCACCAACATCCTGTCTCCTCGGTCTCCGTTTGGGATCGAAATTTAAAGGAACCAATTTGTTGTTCTCCTCTTTCCATCTGAGCTTAAAGGACCTAAAAGATTCAGTGCGGGTTTTGTTAGAGTGCACCTGTGTTAAACAGATTGTTACAAAAATGTAGGTCAAGCCGTTAACCCTACGCCATTTCATTTAGGCTCTTCTTTTTCAAGGTACTTATTTGACAATTACAATTTAAAGAAATGATTTTAGTAATAATTTCGTTGTATCAGTAACTACTCAGTTGAACTTTTGCAAAGACTTTTCTAAACAATTTCCTGCACCTGTGATTTAAATATATTTATTTTTAGGTCGAAAATTTCTCTATTTATTTCACTATTACAACAAAATTTTGACATAGGGCTTGGTTTACGAAATTTTGTAACTTTTTTTATATGTGGGATTCTAAATTAAATAAACCTGACGAACATGTCAGTGGATAGTATCAGTTTTTATTTATTTGTATACATCTGCTATAAATTTTTATTTTAATATTAATGTTTTACGTTTGTCTTGTTTTTTAAGTTCTAACCTCGGTTCTAACATGTGGACACATTCTAAGTGAAGCTAACTTAATTAAAAATCTGAATATTAAGATCAATTTTTCGAATTAGATTAAGTAAAGTAGGAGGATATGTATTTAACTAAAATCTTGCCAAAATTAAAATCAGTATTTCAAAATACATATTTTGTTTAATAATGGCAAGCCTTAGTCGAAAACGAAAAAAATCTATCATAATATATCCAAAGAATTTACAATATCTCTTAAACCAAATCCCAAATAAACATTTTGCAGAAGTAAAAATAAATAAAAGAAGGAAATCTGGTCTAATTTCNTAAAATTAAAAATCTGAATATTAAGTATTTCAATTTTTCGAATTAGATTAAGTAAAGTAAGATGATACTGATGTATTTAACCAAAATCTTACCAAAATTAAAATCGGAATCTCAAAATAGGTATTTTGTTTAAGAATGACAAGCAAAGTCGAAAACGAAAAAAAATCTATCATATTATCCAAAGAATTTACAATATCTCTTAAACCAAGTCCTAAATAAACATTTTGCAGAAGTAAAAATAAATAAAAGAATAAAAGAAGGAAATGTGGTCCGATTTCAAGAAAAAGTTGAGAGGTCTAAGGGTGTTACGACCCCTTTCCTTCGTCCGCGTAACCATTTTCATGATTAAAATTGCACTATGCAAAGGCAAAAAGTGCAAAATCAGACGCTTAGGCCTTGATGTTGATATCGCTTTTTGGGCTACTTCTCAGATAATGGCAGTCCTCTGAAATGTTCCGTAGTGTCCGCTTTTCGTTTCACCGTCATGGTACTCTAAATAATAAAATACACTTTTTAAATTGTAATTTCGACACTTTGTCTTGAAAACAAAAGCGCCTAAATGAACAATGCCAAAGAAAGTCTTATTATTTTCACTTAAAGAATCTATGGTTGCCTGCTGACCTACTTTTTAAAGATAAATGATTAACAAAGATCCAATAAATTATTGGTTACGGAAATGGAAGGAAAACTATTTTGTTTTCCTTTTAGATGTGACTTCTAAAGATTAAAAGAACGTCGCGAATATTAGATATTTTTTATGAATTTACCTGGATACTGAGAAAACACACTCATTAATTACCATCAAGTCGATAGCTTTTTGAATGTAACTTGCTTTCACGAAAGGGGACGTGCATTGGACAAGACAAAGAATGTCAATATATGGATGAACTTTCAAAAATTCTTGGACGGCGAATATGGATGTAGCAGTATCAGTTGCTGACTCAGGCGTTCTCCAATGTATGTTGACATCAGCTAGAAATCAACATTTATAAAAATGTTATTTTGATGATTTGACCATTACCATCATGGGCTTCTTTGGCGATAAAAAAATTATCAGTTGACACCCATATTGATGATAAGTCTTCAGTTTCTCTTAATGCATTAATAGATGTCGCTAGAAGAGTACGATCGCCTACTTTGGAAATATTTTTTAATTTGATACCTTTTGATCCCCCACGAGCTAAAATTAACCCTGCGATATGGCTTTTATGACTTATTAGAGGATTCCTGGAACAAAGAAATAGAAGAGTCATAACATGCGTTTAGTTTAGGTACCGCATTGTATTAAAAATTGTACAGGGCGTTTTAGAAAAAAGCGTACCTACCATAAATTGCAGAAGTAAGGGAATTAACATATATTAGACGATTTTCTGTGAGATATTGATATATCGTCTTTAGTTTCAACATACAGAGCGTTATAATTCTTTTTCCAAAATAACTTTTGGAAATATGTATCTTTAAAAAACAATCATGAAATATGATAAGCATTTTTTGAGAGGTTTCTAATATGTAGTAAGTAGTTGTTTTAATATGTAGTATGTGTAGTTATTTCTGGCCGTTAGAGGATCAATAACAGATAAAAATAACCAAAATAATTCAAATATCGAATATTTTTCGGAACAGTTTAAATGTTTGGGAAGTACATACTTTCCCTGAAAACTTAGTTATTCTTTCCCTTAATTCGCTCTTTCGGTTGGATGTATTTTGAGCAAATTAGAGATTTGTTTCTTTCATTTGTGAAAAATTAAAAGAAATGAAAAAGCATATTTTGCAACGAGCAATGAATATTTTATAATAATTGCTAATCAATTTACGTCAAATTTCTCAAAAAAAATAAATAAATAAGTATATAGGCTTTGATAACTGAATGAATTTAAAAAACAATGAAAATTAATAGTTATTTATACCATAAAGGAGGTAAGTATTATTTACCAATCGAGGACGATTTTGCGCTTGAGCTTTTTTTCCTAGAGAGGTAAGTTACCTCACTTACCTCCCGTTATCCATAGCAATTTCCACTTCTACGGTAAAATCCACTTACCTCCTTAAAAACAATGTATTAATAGTCTATTTGCGTTTTTTTTAAAAAGCACAAATTGAAAAGTCGATTTTTTTGTCAGTAAGGGCTAGCTATGCTCGATTATAGATAGCTTTAGGGTTTCAATCATATTTATGATAAGTGCAGTTTATTGTCAAATAAGACGTATATTAAATTTCAAAAAAGTATGTGACTGACAAACTCAGGGTAAATATCCAATATCCAATAAAAAAACGATTTTGAAATTATATAACTTTATTAATATTGAAATACTAAAATGATTGTAGCAACTGTAAATAAATAAATACACCTACACACACATTTTTTAGGATTAACTTCCTGTTAAAACAAAATAAAGGCGCTAAACTAATTGTTTCATAAATTTATGTTCTAAACATTTTAAATGACTTGCAAGAACTGAAAATTATTTGTACCAGAGATTAAAAACAATAATTTATTCCTAAATACGTACCATTTATAGTTTTCACAAGACAATACTAAAGCAAAATGCACAGAGAGACAAACAAACCTACATTTCCAACTCATACCGGAACTATGAGATTATTGTCGGTGAGTAGAATACCGTCTACCAAAATGTACTTGGTATATGAGGAACTTTATTAAGTAATAATACCAGAGGGTCCATTATTAAAATTAATAAAGCCTTATTGTGTGATTATTTGTGCCGACAGAATACTGTGTACTAGGACAATGTAGTATTAAATTGCTTATGTGACAATCCAGCAGAAGAGTACCTAATTAATTGTTGTTTTCAGCGGTTTATAGACGAAGTGTTGCAAGGTTTAGACTTTTGTTTCGCTTACATTGATGATATTTTGGTGGCATCGACGTCGCCCAGCGAACATTTGCGACACCTCGAGTTGTTATATGAAAGGTTTAAGACATATGGTGTTGCAGTGAATTTCGCGAAGTGCATTTTTGGGAGACCTGAGGTAAAATTTCTCGGCTACCTAATTTCTGAAAAGGCACAAGCCCGCTACCTGAGAAAGTGGACGACACAATCCGGTCCTTTTCCCGTCCAGATACCGCGAAAAAGCTGCGACAACTTTTGGGTATGTTAAATTTTTTAAAGAAATTCTTACCCAATGCCGCACAGACTCAGGCCCCATTGAACGAACTGTTAAAAGGCAATGTGAAGGGAAGAATGCCCATTAATTGGACAGCAGAAGGTGTTCGCGCATTTGAGGCTAGTAAGGAGAGTCTAGCTCAAGCAACCTTTATGACACACCCCGAACATAACGCACCACTGGCTATTTTTAGCGACGCATCAGACATTGCCGTAGGAGCGTACCTCCATCAATTTGTAGAAGATACCTGGCAACCCTTAGATTTCTTTTCTAAGAAACTTAGTACAGCGGAGCAAAAATATGGAGCCTACGATAGGGAGTTACTCGCCATATACCTGTCCATGAAATATTTTAAACACATGGTAGAAGGAATATCGGTCACCGTATACACCGACCATAAACCCTTCACTTTCGCCTTTACGCAGAAGAACAAGCTGTGCTCGCCTTGCCAGTTCCGACATCTGGATTTTATAAACAATCAACCCGGGTTGTCCTCACGATATCCAGAAAGACAATGTCATCAGAGACGTCACAAGCACAAGAGCAGGGAGACGTGTCCGATTCCCAGATCGACTGCAAGGCGGATTCAACTAATGTGTATATAGTTTCTCTTCTTTCTATTCGTTTCTACTGAGTAACGTTAGCACTATCATGGGGGTACTGTGGGGACACACGTTCCCTGCCACGCCTCTGTATTTATAGAAAATAATATTTACAAATAAGAAATAGTATGGAAGCAGATTTGCCAGTTTCAGGAGTACTTGTCAGTGCCATAAATCCTAACGAATAACGATCCTCATCTAGGTATTATAAACACAACAATTTCTAGGTAGTACTACCGGAACACTGACCGTACCCTTAGGCAGGCAATCTGGGGATATTCGCGAGTAGTTGACCAACATATTGAACGGTTTTTGTCAATTAGTTACCTAATAAAGAGTTAAGAGTGCTACCTGGCGTGATATTTATTTGGTGGACAAGGAATACCCCACAGTTTTGTACCAATGAATTTTGTTTTACAAGGAACGGAGTTGTAAATTTTCATAATTTGCATGTGTGGACTGATGAGAATCCTAAAGAAACACAACAATAATGACATTACCTGATAGCCACAGCAATCAACATCTTGTTTTCATCGCCTACTGAACTTAAATTTTTAGATCCGTGACACTGCTGCGCAAATCGAAACATACAGACCTGCAAATAATGCAATTTTTCTCAAGAATGGCTTTCTGTAGGCGATTTTCTCAAACGACAATATTTTTTTAAATGAAACGAGCTTTCCAATGTTGCTCGTTATAAAAAAATACGATCACTGTAAAAGTGTGACCGCTAAAAGGGAGAGGTAACCGGAGAAAACTATCACCCAGTATATCGATTTGACTAAAGTTTTAAGAAATAATACGCCATAACAGTCCAAATAAATGTCCCAAATTTTAACATGATCGGTAAAAAGGTTATGAAGTTATTTATTAAATTAGTTTTATTTTTGACAACTTTGAAGGCTTGTAGAGTTGTTTCAAAATCTTATGAGCTTTGACCTTCATATGCGCAAAAACATAATTCCGACCGTCGCCTAAATTATTCTACGTCCTAAAAACATTACATCAATTATTCACAGTCTATCTCGAGCTCTCGTAGCGTAAACAAGCCTTTGCTCCGATTACAAATATCATAATAAAATGCCCTATTCTTTATTATTTTAATTTAAGCAATAAAAATATATATAACGAACGATCGCCAGTTGACTTTATTGATGCCCGAGCGCCTTAGTTCATTTCTGGTTGTAATGAGGCACATGGTCCAATTCTGAGTAAATGTTTTCACAACGTGCTTATTAGAAGAATTATGCGGATATGCCACGCCTTCGCGCATTTCGCGGCTCATGAGATTTAAAATATTAAAATAAATTATAAAAACAGTGACTTAAGAAAACAAAAAGGAATCAGAACTAGTAGAATTCTAATGCTGACCTGATACACAACTCTTTCAGTTCAAAGGTCACATTTTAAACTGCAGCAAAAACCACAAAATGGTCCCATTACGGAAATATTTTTGTCGTCACCGTTTGTTGAGAGATTAAGCAACCACGTTATGAGTTTTTTTATACTTACGCAAATCATGGTCACCTAGACCAATTTACCTATAAAGGACTGCACACATTTAACAAATAGTAAACAATATCTATCGACAAGCCATAATTAAAAAAATTTATAGGTATATAATTTTACGTCCTGTTTTTTCTTCGGTATTTTTCTGTTGTTGACACTTTTGACTTTCTCAAGTACTAAATTCACTATAATTTTGCCTTGAAAAAAAAATTAAATAACTGTGTAATTTCAGTTCATATGTTCTACCTCGGTTGTGCTTTAACCATAGTGTGGTTGAACCTTAGAATGACTTGTCATTCTTTATCTTTATTTTATAGCTCTCGTAAGTACATAAGTGTTAGGTACTCAGCACTAAATCTGCCGTTATTGATAAGATATAAAATCGTTTATATATAATACCATTTCAGACAGAAAAAGTACAGTAAGTTTGCTGAGTGATATCCGACTGTTACCTTCGAAAACAAACCAAAAAATGTCAAGTCAAATTGCAAATACCGCGCGACCTAGTTCTGCCAAAGTCTTTACATTAGTTAAACGTTTCGAGGGATTGCCAAAAGAAACCGATTTGAAATTGGAGGAGGAGGAACTTCCGCCCCTGAAGGACGGAGGTAAGTACTAGCTTTACATGTTTTACTTATTTTATAGCTAAGGAAATAAATATTTCCGAAAGCACTGTTTTTTTTCTTATATAT